GTGGCATGGAAACAAATTGTAGTAGGATGTATGTGACCAGAGTCCTGCTATTCCATTAGGTGGTATGGGGAGGGGAGAGAATCGCGTCTCGAGAAGTGAGAAGCAGTGTCTTGCAGCTGTAATAAAATCTCTTACAAAACAGAATTTTGCATTTGGTCTATTCACGAGTTTGCGTCATTCGATATTTACTTAGCAATTCAACGGCACTTTTATCATGAAGCAGAATCTAAAATCGAACATGATTTGTTTGTTGATGTGTCAGATGAAACCGTGAGATGCAATTGGGTTCACTAAAAAACAAAACCCACCCTTGAACCAAGTCCAGCCTTTGCAACCTTACGCATGTCACGCCATACAAACTCCCTCCTTCCGTGTCAAGCTCGAACGACAGCTGCCATAGAGGCCAATATACCAAACTGCTCAAGATAACGTTACAACGTAGTCTTATCACTAAGCTTTGGGGATGGGTGTTAAAACCGCTTTCGGAGCATGGGGAGTAGGGCTAAATCGTGGAAGTTATTACAGTAATCCCAAAACTACCGAGTCTAAAAAACAACGGATCATCATAAACAGCTTCAATGATCCGATAACTCTAATCAAGCAAATTCACACATAGGCACAATGGAATGACAATTCGAGCGAGTTACCTAAGCTTTAAAAGAACTAATCGCATTTTTTTCTAGCCCCTATGGTTATTTGGGGCAGCTAGTACTCCTTTATATTCTTGTCAATTTATCATTATTTTTATCAGTATTTTTTATGTTGGGTACAAATAAAGTTGTTTTTGTTTACAACCTCTACTAAACAACGGATCCCACGGATTTTCTAGCGATGACAATGCTTCAGTATGGAAGTTAGTGCAGTTTTTCGTTCTTTCGTTTTGCTGAGTCACCTGTATTTTTCCACAGGTGGATTTCCCATATTTGATAGCTGAACCTGAAGGATTAAAATCTCACGAGAACCTGTTTGATTGCGCCTCTAGAACGTACACGTGCACCAAAAACTGCTGCTATTTTGTATTGACGTTCATCTTTGGGGGTCCTCTGGCATTGTTTTGGCTGCTACTTTGCCTGCCTCGGGTTCGAGTACATTTGGTGTGTGATGCCTTGTGTTAGAGCGTGGCTGATAAGATTGGAGTGCTTTGGCAGGATCTTTGCATACTGCATCAAGAATTTTTGCGACCCTTATTTCTACTCATTTGGAAAAATATTCTCTAGAATTCATGTAAAGACTGAAACTGTTTAGAAAATTGTTAACTCGGTAATGGTTTTGTTAGTTTCGTATGCAGACCTTTCGCGGCCCATCGGACAAATCGCTTGTAACAGTTATACTTCGGTTATCCACGACCTAATTAACTGAATTTCCTAAATAAATACACGGATATTTACTAATAGTTCATAATAATAAAGAGATACAACAAAAAAGATACTAATTGTTGCAGGGACAAAACGATAAAAAAAAACGATAGACAAACTAGAGACATGAGGAAATTTCAAAAATATATAAAGAAGAGCGAGCCAGTAGACGCAGACATCCAACCAACAAGTCAGGTGTATTTACCCGTGATATTTAACAGGAGTTCGATACCTAAACTCTAAAATAGCTCCTTAGGAATAACCTTTGAGAGTACTTTGAAAATATCAGATCAGTTTCCGAGCTTATCCTCTCTTAATGCAGCCCATTCCCTTGTAAGTTTTTAGTGGTAAACTGCCCTACCCAAACCGCGCATACTCGGCAACTATTAAAAAAAAAAAAAAAAGAAACAAAAAAGCTACACACACACACATACAGATAAACATAACAAAAACATCAAAGTTTGTACCAACACATAAAATCGCACTAATCCCAGTTAACACCGCGTGCTGTACCAACCTACCTGTACATGTATTGTTTCTTGAACACGTCAATAGCTCTGTATGTGTCATGACACGCCAGGTAATACAAAACAGCGCGCTGATATTGACCCTGCGATTCTAGCTGGTCAGCAAACGCTCGCGTGGTAGCCATCCATAAGTCACGCCCACCTAAAAGTGTATTTTTCGCTACAATATCACAAATCCATTTGACTTAAAAGTAAGACATAACATAATCATCATTTTTAATTTAATGCGATGTCGTTAGCTTACTCGACGAGATAACAAATTAGTTGGGGCGACTGCCTGTTTCTTTAAGAATGTTTCGAAAATCAAAGCTTGATATGATAGGGTACAACTGGTCGAGTTGTGTATGGAAAAACTCAAGCTGAGGGAAGGAAATTGGTAATATAACTTTCAAAAAGAGTTCTATACCTAGAGGACTGAGAGCCACAAGCCAGTCAGTAAGCTGTTTCTTGTTAGTCGCCATCTGCAGCGCTCCGCCAAGATTTCCTTTCCAGATCTCCAGCTCCAACTGATAGTCAAGGTTGCCGCCGTCTTTGTGATGTTCACCTACACAACAACATCGAGGAAAACAAGAACCGCGTCATCTACAAACCCTAAGAAATTGGCAAAAGAAATATAAATACCTTCCGTAGCAAACATCCTGTAGGCGCTGCGCCTATCAGCAAACAGCCCGAGGTTCACAAGATCCTCTGATCCAGCTGTTCCATGCGGCGACGAGCTACCAGAACTGAGTGTACCTTGTTCCTGACCTGTTAAAACAGTACAATTTCACAAACTTGCACCAGTGATTTGGAATCGGCGATTACAGGGACCCAAACTTCAAGGGAATTTATTTCCGTTTCTGCAGGATGGAGCCGCAAGGAGCATCCGTCTAGACTGGATGTTAGTCTTTCAAAGGCTTTCCCGGACATTTATTCACTGACAGTTTACATTGCCGGGTGTATTTACATTACAGGCTGTACAAATTTATATTTTGGAGGGAAGCACTGCAAAAATCTTGTGTATTGCTAAATCTACAAAAGAATAACCAAGACAGGACATCGTCATTCAAACTTCAGTGCAGAATGTTTTTGAGGCGGAAACGGTGGACAAAACCAATTTATCGTAAAGCCCATACTTCAAACCTTTAAACAAAACGCTACATTTAAGAAGTGTGCACCAAGTAAAAGCAAGAAAATAGAAAAAGAAATTTCCTCCTGCAAGTATGGGACAGAAAACGAGTCAAACATGGTCTTGCCTACCATAGTTAATCTTCGCTAGTTCAATGCACTCCTCTCGCGTTACTGTTTTGGATTTGCTGTCCGCAACAGCAGAGAGCGGAAACATTGATTTGACTTTCCTCTTTTTCTTGGAAGATGAGGTTGTTTCTAAGGAAACTGTAAAATCAAACGAAAACCACGATGCGAGTTAATCAAAGATGCAAGGGAAGAAAAAAATAAAAAAAAAAAAGACTTGAGTAGAATCTTAAACAAGTGGGCATCTTCGGGAAGCGAAGAAATTGTCTGCAACAGCAAAAGAAGTGTACAAGCACATATCTTTTATTGGGAAGTATTCAAAAGGTATTTTGTCCAAACTACCGTAGGAGCAAAGCGCTTACCAAAGTATCCGTTAACAGAGCTTCAAATAAATACTTAAATGACCTGAAGGAAGTGTTTTTAAAACTCGTCATGGGAAACAAAGCGAACGATTGACAGTTTCGACAGTTTCATCACGACCTAAAAAATCCTGAATCAGTCTCCTGGATTAGTTGGACTGTGACTATCGTGTATAACTACAAACATTTGAAAATGTAATCGCATCATCTTTTAAATCAAAACGAAAAAGAAAAAAGAAACAGATAACGTCTAACTTACCCTTAGATCTTAAAGGAATCACTTTCTCTTGTTTCACAACAACATCAGGCTTCATCTCCTCGCCCGTACTGCATGTATTGTTAAAGGTCGACGACTCATTCTCCGCCACTGTTTCCTCTTTTGGCTCAGTTCTACAATCGCTCTCTGACCCTTCCTCTGTTTTTATCGCCGGTACTGTTTTCTCAGCTACTTCGATCTCAGAAATAGCGATCGTTTCCTCTTCCTTTCCGTTTGCGTTTACTTCTGGTTTAGCTTCTGTAGTATGGATGGCTGAGACAAGTTGTGCTTCCTTGGAATGATCACCGACGTTCACTGCTGCTGCTTGTTTTTCATTTGTGTTATTTTGCTCAAGATTGGACGTTGGTTCGTGTCGCCAAGTTTCCTTGTTGTCTAAGCGAACTTTCCCTTTGCCTTTCTGCTTGTTCTTCTTGCTTTTGGAGGACTTTCCAGCTGAATGGCTCGTTTTCTTATCTGCGTGACAAACAAGTGATAAAGATCGATATTAACCACAACATGTTCTACAACAACGATCATCCAGCAATGTATATGAGAAGTTAAAAAACCTTGGTATCTTGAACCCCTTTTGCTGGTCACAGGAGATTTGGAATGACGAGCCTCTGTTGTATTTTGGGCGAATTCAAAACATACCGCCGCTTGAACGCAGGGATGTAAAATAAATGGCCATTGGCGAACGGAGAAGCAAAAATAAAGGCTGATAGTTTCGAAAGAAACTGTTTGGGGCTGCGTCGGTGGGAGTAACGAAATAATTTGGATATATCAACAAAGTTGAAATGGTAAATTGGCCACCGTAACGATTACAAAAGCTGACGTTTCGAGTGTTAGCCCTTCGTCGGAGCAAAGCAAAAAGTTAAAGAACAGCACATCCCTTTGGCGGTGCAGATGAAAACAGCAAAGAAAGGGTCGCTTTCGAAAAATTTCTATCCCGCAACACCTCTACCAGAATTGGGTTTGCGTTTGTAAAATGGATTGCTCAGTCTCGGCGAGCCAGTCCTGATCAGTGACAGCCTTTCGCAGTGCGCTGAATCTGTAGACCTCGTCTAACAAATGGTTTTCACCTCCACCTACCTGAGACCGGTGGTTGCCGATGCTGCTGCAGTGAAGGTTTCCAAGGTCGCACAGTGCCGTCCTCTCCTCCGCTGTATACCAAGTCGGGATCCAGATAACTCCACACTACACACATCACACGACTGCTATGGCCACGGAAATTGTACAAAGCTTCTCCTTTAACTACATCCCAAACCTACGAACAGGAAGTACAAAAATACTGACTTGGGAAGATAAAAACAAAAAAAAAAAGATTTACAATATTTTGATTACAAAAATATCGAAAACATGATGCAACGAACTAACTTCAAAAGTTTACGGACCAATATAAGTATCTAAGCAACTTGTCACCCACCCGTCCCCTAACCCAACAACAGTTTACTGACAACAGGGTAGGGTTAATGTTGTGTTAAGGGAGGGGTAAGCGAGCAGTTACTCAAAAGTTTGCGAATCACTATCAGTATCTGAGCAACTGTGCACCTACCCCTTCCCTAACCCAACAACCGTCAATTGATAACAAGGTAGGGTTAACGTTGTGTTAAGGGAGGGGTGGGTGAGCAGTCGCTCAGACACTGACGTGGATAAAAGTTTTCAGCAACATTGATATTAACGTTACCTGAGTAGCACAAAGATCGTTCAAAATGTTGGTTAACGACGAGCAGAGAAAAAGAAATATTGACTCCCGTGACGACATATCGATATTTTCTACACTAAAGCATAAATAATTTGCATATGTAGAACCAGTCGGTTTTGATCATTGCACAGAGTGTATGGACATACTTATAAATAAATTTAAAAAAAGACTTCGAGCAACCATCGGCACAACAAGTCACTTTTATCCATTTTAGAACATGTCAACAACCAGTTCGTCCGACGAGAATCCAAGATGGCGCCCACTGAAGTCCAAGTTACCCCCCAAGACGCAAAACATTATGGGTCCTGCGAAAGTAGCGAATTTGTGTGCTTTACATTAAGACCAGCCAAGGGAGAAAAATATCTTTCGGACTAAGCGGTAGCACCCAGCCTGCTCTTTAAAACGGACCTGATCACAGGCTTCATTTACCTGTGCGGTTCCATCATACGAGGAAGAAAGAAGTAGTTCCGACTGATGCGGATTCCAATTCAAATCAGTGATTCTTCCCGAATGACCTGACAGCTTACGAAAACATTCGGTAACGGGAGCCGAGTGGGCTGCCGACTTGGACAAATCACCTGTAGGAAGAAATTTCAGACGTCAAGAGTAAACGAGTCGAGGGTTTGTCTTTTCTCTCCAATAAAGTATTATTTTACGTATTTCCTCTTCCTTGCGAGGTCTACAGAGGTGTAGTTAGATCAAAGATGGAGCGACAGGAAGGAAAAACCACCTTGATAATTCTGGTGTACGGCCCGACACGACGGACGCCATTTTGAATAATGTTGATATCTCCATGTACTCGAGCAAAAATTTCCGCGTTAGTCCCACCCCCCAAATATGACAAAAGGACGACTTTGGGGGAGGGGAAGGGATAATAGGAGAGGGGAGGTTGCGGATAACGCGTCTAATTTACATAAATGCATAAATTAGTTGTCTATCAAAATCAGAATGGAGTGAGTGAATCATAGGTCCATACCTAAACCTAAAAGTATGACTACGTTACACCACAAGGCAAAAATGCTGCATCTTTTTTATGTCTTTAGTTGAAATGCTTTAGAAAAGAGGGAATATAATTTGATCACGAAACAGCGTGTGAGCTGAGACACCTAACAGACCATGTAATTTTTCACTATAAACAAAGCAACCGCGACATACTCAACATGTTGCTGAGGTCATGGATATGAATACTGGACTCGTTAGATCCTGACGCCAGCCAATACTTGCAACTAGCACTACCTGGAAAGAAACAAACACGATCTTGTTCGAAATTCTCCCTTTGGGTGCCATATATTTCCCTTTAAATACGTTGGGAAAATTTGGTGTGATATTGTCCACATAATAGCTTCCAACTTAAAAGTTTTTATTATATCGCTCGCAGTGCACGCGCGCAAGATGAAGCGAATGCTGTGTTCTGATTTGTCCACCTTGCCCGCTCGGGATTGCTCGCCTCGCTTCCGCGCATGAAAACAATTGAATTAGAACTACGTTCGTAATTCTTGGATAATGTCGGCGATGGAAACGCAAAAAGCGGCAGAAGATGGTCAAAATGAAGAAAACAGAAGCGACCTTCGTGAGTTCGTTGTGCTACAAACACAGTTGGCTTTCTTTCCCGGCTCCCGAAGCAAACAAGCCATTCTTAATTCTTAATAAAGCGAAATCTTTTTGCAAAATAATAACTCATTTATTAACCAAGCTTGTTCAGTCATGAAACAAAGAAAACAGAAGCGACTCCCGTGAGTTTGTTGTGCTACAAACACAGTTGGCTTTCTTTGCCGGCTCTCGAAGTAAATAAGTCATTCTTAATTCTTAATAAAGCGAAATCTTTTGCAATATAATAACTGATTTATTAGCCAAGCTTGTTCGGTCAAGATGGCTGGATATTAGCCTCGTTCTTTTTTCGCATTTTTATGGAACTGGACTTTATCTCGGTCCATAAAAATGCAAAAAAGGGTCGAACAATGCAGACATAAAAACAATTCCTCATCAGTTTAAAGAAACAGCAGTTGCAAAACTTATATATCCCTCTCTAAATGGGTAATGCAATTAACATCACAGTCTGACATAAACTAGAATGAGCATCGATAGATATGCAAAAGTTCTCGTCAGACTTCCCCTACAAGATACGTTAGCATAACAATGAAGACTACTGTTTACCTTTGCCATTTACTCCTGCAGTTAGTTCGCCGTATGATCCATGATGCCACACAAGAGTAGTGATGCTCTTTTTGTGCGTGATAATCATTCCAACTTGTATCAAGTCCGGTGGAACATACACTTCAATCGAACTGAAAAGTAAATGATAAGGATGATGATAATGGCACTACCAATAAAAATTACAATAGTGATAATGATAACGACATGCCTAATCTTAAGGCTAACCTATTGAGGGACGCATTTGATTTAAGGCTTTCATTTTCAGATGTGTTGCGATTGTTATTTTAAGTTGCATTTTAATTGTATTAACATTTTCTAATTTTCATCCTTTTCACGTTCAGTTACTCATTGATTGAAGATGGCATAAGCATGCCGAAACATGTCTCTAAAAAAAGTTGTACATTTCTTACAATCTTGAAATCAGTACTGTACAACGTATTTTTATATCAAGTACCAAGAGCAATTAATGGAAATGGTGCTAAAAGAAATAAATTTATCTTTGCGGATTTATCAGGATTAGGATCAAATCATTACGAATGCGGCGTGGTCGAGTGGTTAGGGTGCTGGCCTTGTAATCCGGTGTCCGGGGTTCAAGTCCTCCACCCTGCCACTCACTGGATTTGTTCTAGGTTGCCCCTGGTTCAACTCCTCGGCTGCGCTCTGTAAAATAGCCCACTGGTCTGCCTCCTGCCAGTGGGGATTTTTAAGCACTTACTCTACATTGTGGCTGAAAAGCCCCCTAAGAGGGAGCTTCAGTTTACGTAATTATTTTAATTTTTTTTCTTTTATTATCAGAATCAGGAACAAGAATAGCATCAGCATCTGCATCTGCATCAACATCAGCTTCAATTTACGCGTTTGGCAAGAGTACCATATAACCCCATACATTAATTATGCATTCAGACTTGTAGACTTTGTTTTTAAAGTTTTGTCGTGAAAGACAAAGAAGTGGAATGCATAATTAAGGTATGGGGTCGTATGGTACTCTTTCCAAGCGTTTTTTAAGGTTAACTCATTCACGTATGACTCACCCATCTTCATTTCCCAAAGCCAACACGGAACCATCTGGGTTCCATGAAACATCCGTTCGACCAAACGGCTTGTGCTGTAAACAAACAAACAAACGACTGAGCAACACTAGTTTCACCAGAATGAAAGGCATTACAGTACAAAGACAGACATCCATTCCGACGTGCTTATCTCTTTGGTTTGACAATCAAGGCCACAAGTCCAACATCGTTCATTTGGCATCAAAGTCAAAAGGAAAACGAACCTTTGAAGCCGTGGTTTGCTTGTTTTATAATTTAATCTCTAACAGAAGAGCCAGTAAAATTTTTCAACCCACGTATACCTTGAGGTTATTTGTTTTTAGTATTACAGCATTCACATCCACTGCATCATCCATAAAATGTCCCGTTTTGTGTTCAAGTACGCTTCCATCTCCAGAGCAGCTGTACAGG